ATGTCTTAAATACTCACGGCACTGTATCGCCGTATGCATTGGCAGTAGCAAGTTCCTGTACTTGCTTGCAGCAGCAGCAATAATCTACAACTACAGCAATAACCAACAGCAGCAGCAATTCAGCAGAAGTGTATCAGATCTATTCTGCCAAGACCAAATACATTAACATTGTCATATCCATCACCATGCTAAAATCTTCCGAGAGTTGTCATGATTGAAATACTATTTTCATCATTTCTCTGTGGGAAAATTCAGTGTAACTCTGCAAGCAGATGTAAATATGGTAAAATATGTTAACCAGAGCTGAAAGCACCACACTATTAACTGAAAACACGATCTAATTAAAACACTACACTTTGTAATTAATGTAAACATTTATGCAAAATTCTTTCCAAATGCAATTATAATTAAAAAGAAAATAATCAAAGATAATATTTAGAAATAAATGATTGTGACTGATGAATTGTGTGGAGATTCTGTGGATCTTGACATGCTGAATTCTCAGTTTTATTGAATAATACATTTTTTAATTTCTCCAGCAGCGGTGTGCATGTGTTCAGATGTTCTGTGTGTGGAGAGAAACTAATTACACTAGTAATAACTCATGAGCCGTTAATGAAGCGCTGGAGAACCAGGATATTAAATGATGCTCAAAGCTCCTGAGGAGAACAGAGAGCATGAAGGAGGGGCGACTGTATAAAGTCACAGTCATCTCTATAGTGATTTATACAATACAGATTCACAGAAATAAACAGTAAATCATATTGATGAAATACGAATGAAATTTAATATGAAGTCTGCAATGTTCTGCATGTCTCTGCACAGATTTGTCTTGGTTTAACTTGAAGAAATTGTGACAGAAATACAATACTATATAATACAAAATATAATACTGTAGTAGAAAAAGCAACAACAATAATATTATTAAAAAATTTTTTTAAAGGAATGCTACAGAATTTGTATTCCATGTTCTTCCATTTGAACAGTAAACCAGGTTTTAGTTTGCTAAAATATAAAAGGAATTGTTACATTTTCATTTGATTACATTTCAAAACAATTATTAAACTGTTAATGTTTTATGCCATCATTTGATTACTACTGCTTTTAAATCAATGTAATAATAATATGTAATAATAATAGAAATAGTATATATAATATAATAGTAAAATGTAATAATAATTTGCATTAAATAATAAATTAAAACAGAAATTAAAACAAAAAATAAATTTCATAGGGTACTATTATTGTAAAAATGTTAATGAATTATTAAATTGTTGAAGCTTTATGAATTAAATTGATTAAACATGCTTTTTGATAGCTACAACTTAATTAAACCATTAAAACAGAATCCAGATGAATTTAAATCGAAAACACAGAATTTGGGAAAAATAAAACAGATTTTCTGAAAAAGAAAACATTCAATAGGGCCGTATTATTGTAAAAAGTTTCACAAATTATTAAATTGTTGAAGTTTCACAATTTTAATTATTTTGACGATTTTTCATTACAAACATTTAATTTAAACATTTAAATGGGGAAAAAATGGGGGAAAATTACAACAGATTTCAAAGGGCCCAAGTTACAGCAGTGTTTCAAAAACTGGGGTTTATACATTTTAAAGAGAATTAAATGATAAAAATTTCAAATTAATTAATACATATTTTTTAAATAAAAAAATTTAAAAAACAAAAATTTCTAAAAATATTTATTTGTATTTGTACTATATTTTAAAACATATTTTAATTGTTTACCTGTATGTCATGTCACCAGTAACTGACATCAGAGGATCACAAACATGCAAATGTGTTGTTAAATTATTGAAATATCAACTTAAAATTTCAGTGGGCCAAGAATTAATTTAAGCTCAAATGGTTCGGCTGACAAAAAAGATTGGGAACTCCTGGGTTATAGCACTTATATCTATCTGTATATAAAACAACAGAAGTGTATGGGATGACCTGATTCAGATGTGTGTGTGTGTCTCTCTGTGTGTGTGTGTGTGTGTGTGTGTGTCTGTGTGTCTTACCCACAGCACTGACTCCAGCGGCTCTGAACTGACCCAAAACCAGAC